TGTGTGTGCGTGTGTGTGTGTCTGTATAAATATATATATATATATATATATATATATATATATATATATATATATATATATATATATAAGATTATATATATATATATATAAGATGAAAGAGAAAGTCTAAATTCTGTAAGGTTACTGTGGTTTGCAATGAAAGTATTTTGTTCAAACGAGTCTCACACTGTCCTTAAATTTATATATATTTATATAATAAAACTATCATAACAGTCATTTTCAATACCCCGTATTTCTACTTGGTGCTGGTTAATTACAGAGCTTGTGCGAACATATTCATATCTCTATGATCAGATACTTTCTTAACCATTAGCAATTTTCTTTTGTGTTTATTTTGTTATTGTGAGGACAGACCACAGCTCATATTAACACATTCATCTAAATGTCGCTCCAAGCAGCATAGATGGTATCTGGGTGTTCTGATCAGTGTAACACTCCAAACGCATTTACAAGTTCCATTCACTTTTAAGAAATACAAAAAATAATAATAATAATAATACCTGTTGCATATAGCATTCGGTAATGTACATTCATCCAATGGATACCAACATAAAGGAAACTTTGTTTACACTTTTCTAGAAAAAAAAACATCATTCAAAACTTCAGTAATGGCTATATCATGGAAATAGAAGAGTGTTTTAAAAAAATAATCAAGGCACTTGATTGTAGAAACAAATTGATCAGAAATAAAAATACCAATTATTGTATAGCACAGAGAAAGATTAAAACTATTTTAGAAAGTTATAGCAGTTGAAAAATTAGTACGAAGTGAACATTTATTCATTTTCTTTTTGGCTTAGTCCCACAGCAGGTCGCCACAGCGGAATGAACTGCCAACTTATCCAGCATATCTTTTACACAGAGGATCCCCATTCATACACACTCATTCACACAAATACACAACAGACAATTTAGCTTAACCAGTTCACCTATACCACGTTCTTGGGCTTGTGGTGGAAACCGGGGCACCCAGAGGAAACCCACGCGAACATTTGGGAGAACATGCAAACTCCACACAGAAATGAAAATTGCAACCATCTTGCTGTGAGGTGATTGTGCTACCCACTGCGCCACTGTGCTGCCCATGAAGTTTTATGACTTCAGCAGATCTGATTTCACCAAACATCACTCTCATAGACATCAAAAGTTTATCACAATCTTCACTAGTCTCTGACTGCAGGTTTTCTTAGCCGTAACTTTGTCATCAAGGATTTTTCCAGAAATTTTAAAAAGGTTTAGATCAGGACTATGGGCTGCCATTTCATGTCATCCTGCATGAAAATACAAAACTCTTATACATCAAGAAACTGTACAGTATGTTGAGAAGATATACAGATCCTTATATGTTCCTTAACTGCATCAAGTCCAGCTGCAGTGTTGACTAGAATCTTCATACTGAATTACCCTGAATCTTATAGTACTGCTGAATGGATTTTAATTGCTGTCTGAACATTTCAGTCACATTCGATAATTTTACTGTCTTACAAACTTTTTTATAACTGGAAATATCTGCAGCTAGTGCATTAGTGTTTGTCGAATGATTAAGGAAATACAATTACAAGCAAATTATCACCAATTACCCCACCAATGTCCATTGATTTTAGTCAGTGATCTTTTTAAATATCTAATTTAACTTTAAAAATGTTCATACTGTGCTTCAAATATATATGTATATATGCAATCAGCTATACATTTGTGTGGGTTTTATTTAAAATTAGAGTAACGTAATCCATGCATCAGAATATGCTTTTAGAAAAGTAAAAAGACCATGAAACGTTAAAGACCATGCCACATTACATTTCACTGAAAAACAAACATAGTTTACAATCGCAAATCTGTGTAAACATCATGTAGTTTATCATTTCTGACAAGCCAGTCACATAAGTGATTGTCCATAACAGTTCACCTTTGGGAATAGAGGAGCTTTTTGAAAGAGCACAGAGTAAAAAAGTCTTTGTGTATGACATGCAGGAGACATGTTTTCTGAGACACTTTTAACTCAGGGCAAATAATATCAATAACATAATAAAGGTTTTAAAAACAAATCAAAATTATTTTTTTTAAAATATTTATTTATTTATTTAAATATTTCTTTCTTTATTTATTTCTTTATTTATTTATTTATAAAATACATAGTATTTATAAAAAATCTAACAAATAAACAAACAATCAAACAAGAACACAAACAAACAAATAAATATAAAAATTGCATGCAAGATACATGTTTTCTGAGACACTTTTACCTCAGCGCAAATAATATCAATAACATACCAATGGTTTTAAGAACACAACATTTTATTTATTTATTTATTTATTTATTTATTTATTTATTTATTTATTTATTTATTTATTTATTTATTTATTTATTTATTTATTTATTTATTTATAAATATACATTATATTCATTTAACAAATAATTCACTAAACAAATAAACAAACAATCAAACAAGAACACAAACAAACAAATAAATACAAAAATTGCATGCAGGAGACATGTTTTCTGAGACACTTTTACCTCAGGGCAAATAATATCAATAACATACCAATGGTTTTAAAAACACAACATTTTATTTATTTATTTATTTATGTATTTATTTATTTATTTATAAATATACATTATATTCATTTAACAAATAATTCACTAAACAAATAAACAAACAATCAAACAAGAACACAAACAAACAAATAAATACAAAAATTGCATGCAGGAGACATGTTTTCTGAGACACTTTTACCTCAGGGCAAATAATATCAATAAAATACCAATGGTTTTAAAAACACAACATTTTATTTATTTATTTATTTATTTATTTATTTATTTATTTATTTATTTATTTATTTATTTATTTATTTATTTATTTATTTATTTATTTATAAATATACATTATATTCATTTAACAAATAATTCACTAAACAAATAAACAAACAATCAAACAAGAACACAAACAAACTAATACATACAAAAATTACATGCAGGAGACACGTTTTCTGAGACATTTTTATCTCAGGGCAAGTAATATCAATAACATAATAACAATTTAAAAACACAACATTATTTATTTATTTATTTATTTATTTATTTTGTATTATTAATTAATATATTTAGTTAGTTAGTTAGTTAGTTAGTTAGTTAGTTAGTTAGTTGAAAAAAATATGTTGTATTTATTCAAAAACACACAAAAAAAAAACAACTAAGCAAATAAAAACAAAAATTACATGAAGGAAACATGTTTTCTGTGACATTTTTACCTCAGGGCAAGTAATATCAATAACATAATAACAATTTAAAAAACACAACATTATTTATTTATTTATTCATTATTTATTTTTCCATTCATTTAATTATTTATTTAATTAATAAAAATACATTATATTCATTAAAAATCAAACAAACAAACAAACAAACAAACAGTCAAACAAGAACACAAACAAATAAACAAACAAACAAAGAAACAAACAAATAAATACAAAAATGACATGCAAGTTTTCTGAGACACTTTTACCTCAGGGCAAATAATATCAATAACATAATAAAGGTTTCAAAAACACAACATGATTGCTTGTTTATTTATTTATTTATTTATTTATAAAAATAAATTGCATTCATTCCAAAATTGTAACAAATAAATAAACAAACAAACATACATACAAACAAGCCAAAAAACAAACAAATGTACACATAAATTACAATGCCACGTTTCAAAATTGTGCATGTGCAAATTCATTTAAACTACAAAAGAAACTGCAGGGGAAATAATATTGTTTACATATAACTGTTTAACAATATAACAGACTATTTTGTCATACTATATTGTATAGTATTGTTTTATAATACTTTTAAAATATACGTTTAAAATATGTATGCATAGCCTACAGTATTTTTCTAAAAAATGTATTCATACACTTAAAAGTATTCTATTTTGATATTTTATTACTAGGTTGTGAATTATAGGCCACATCGGTGATCAGGGCGGTCAATTGCTTTGATAATATTAATTTGTGTAATGTTTTAGTGAATTAAATGTGTGTTTTCCTTTATTTAGCCTACATCTAATTTATTAATAAATTCAATTACATTTTTAGTGTTACGAGGAATATTTAGTTTATTCTGCCCATACAGTCTCCTCTGATTAGCACTCACAATGCACTCAAATAAAGTGAGTGACGTCACTGCGAGGGGTAGTGTTAGGTGTGGGGTTAGGTGAGCTCATTAAAAAGCATTGGATGCACTGGTTTGAGCCTCGGCTGGGTCAGTTGGCATTTCTTTGTGGAGTTTGCATGTTCGCCCGTGTGCGAGTGGGTTTCCTCCAGGTGCTCCGCTTTCCCCCACAAGTTCAAAGACATGCGATACGGGTGAATTGGGTTTGCTAAAAATGTCCATAGTGTATGTTTGTATGTGAATGAGAGTGTATAGGTGTTTTCCAGTGATGGCTTGCAGGAAGGGCATCCACAGCGTAAAACACATGCTGGATAGTCTGCTGTGGCGACCACTGTTTCATAAAGGGACTAAGCCAAAAAGAAAATGAATGAATGAATGAATGAATGAATGAATGATTGGCGTGCATTCACGTATGACCCATGCAGGGGTGGTCAAATGTGTTTATTATGTATTAATTTAATTGTTAATATTATTATTTAAGATACAAATCAGAACAAATTACTTCTAACTATTTAGGGGACTGCATGATCCCTCATACATGTTGTTTTGATGTCCTTCAGGTGAGATCAATAATGAACTGTTTGTTTGTTTGTTTGTCAAAATATTTTCATTCCATTGCAGTTTAAACATTATATTAGTCAAACTGAACACTTTAACATGAATGTATGATAGTATAGTATAGTATAGTATAGTATAGTATAGTATAGTATAGTATAGTATAGTATAGTATAGTATAGTATAGTATAGTATACACCGCCCAATCAGCATAGGATCCGCGGCAGGAAGTGACGGCGGGAGCGCGCGTGTCTGACAGAGCTTTTCTCCAATGGGAAGGCGATCCTCATCCTGTACTCTACTGTAGGTAAAGCGCAGTCACAGCAATGGAGAGAAACCGTGTCAAAATGCTCGCTTAATGCTTCGACAAAAGTAAGGTAAGGACTGACAACAAACACTTTAAAAGCTGTTCTTTGCGGAAAAGTTGTAATGTGTTTGAAGTGGTGTGATAGTGGAAGTGAGAGGAAAGTTTGGGATACTCGACGGAGATCGTATGTCTGAGTTTGGATATTTGCCCGCTACAGTGACGATAAACTGTTTGTCGTGTTAATAACTATGTGTTTTCAGTTTTCGCTTTTTAAAGCCTTGTAAAAAGTGTGTCTTTGAGTGTGCAGTAACCATTAGCTTGAAACCTGTTGAGTTCGTGGTGATGGTTATGTATAGTGGATTAGAGGCACATCTTGTGAAGTGCTTGTACTGTAACGTGTGTAATGCAAGGAAATCTGGCTATGCTGAAGATATTTACTGGAGTACTGGAAAAGGAGGGTAAAGTTTATTACAATGCTTTCAAAGCGTTTTCTAAATATTTATTTTTATTTTAGGTATTATTATCAATAACCTTTTACAACACATAAGAGACGGCTTATTTATTAACTGTTTGATTTGAAAATGTATTGGACATGTGCGATTCACCTATGTATTGCACATTTGTTTCAGTTTTTATTTTCAAATAAATTCAAAATAAGTGTCTTCTTGTTTAAAATTTATGTTTCTTTGCCTAATTGATATTTGTTAACTGTAATTAATTTGCTTATTTATTTATTTATTTATTTATTTATTTATTTATTTATTTATTTAAACACTTTTAAAATGAAATAGTGTTGTTTTGTTTTGTCTTTCTATTTAAGTAAACATAATTATCTGAATTAAGGAATTGAGAATAAATTGTATTATTATTATTATTATTATTATTATTATTATTATTACAGTTTTTCTCAGTTGCTTTGGTGCATTTCTCACAACACTATTTACATTTGCACAACAGGTAATGCATTTCTCAAAACAATTAGTCATTTGTGCACATCCTAGTAGCAGTTTCTCATTCATTTCAGCAAATTGCAAATGCTTTTGGACATGCATCAATTGGTTTTATACAACTCTCTATTTTACTCTGCTTTTTTATAACATTACCATTTGCTTATGTCATGTCAGTCAAAATTAACTAAACTTGTAAATGCTGAACAGTCATTCCATTTAAAATTAATAGTCTTTATTTCATTACTTGAGTCATTACATACAAAAATGTTGAACTAGTTGTCAAAATCTTGCAAGCTAATTTTATTTAAAAAAATGTTTAAATCTTTATTTTATTGAAAATGTCTTCTAAATTGAACAGTTTCATAAATGATTTACAGACCTGTGTAAGTATGTTGGTTCAGTTCCAATATGTTCTGCAATATTGTTTACAGTTGTGCATCGTTCAACCCAAAGAAAGTTTATGTTTGTTGTAAATAAGGATGTGTTTATTCTTCTGCACAATGCTGTGAAAAAAATTCTAATTGTTTAGAGCAAATGGAGAAAAAATGTGAATCATACATATTCAGTGTCTTGTACTAGATACATTCACTAAATGCAGTTATGTCTAACTTTACTGTAGTATTCAATTGGTTGTGCTAATAGTATATAGTACTATCTTGAGCATTTTCACAAAGTTTTACCAAAATCTGACTTTTTTGCATTGAAAATATGTACAGAGTAAACTGACATAATGAAAACATGACAAAGCCGTTTGACTATTCTGTTCATAAACAATGGTGTCAGGACTTTTCATTTTGATGATACTGACCCTTTAATTGACATGAATGCTTTTGAGGAATGAACTATCCATTTTGAGCATGTGACGCGCTTTTGCAGGTTATCAGCTAGGTTTTGCAGTTTGTACTAATCGTTTTAAGAAATGCATTAACTGTTGTGCAGAAATGCACAGGTGTTGTGAGAAAGCACCAAAGCGACTGAGAAAAACTGTATTATTATTGCATTTAATCATTTTATTATAACCATTGGAAAGTATCTGTTCTATTTTTATCCCAATTTTCTTGCTTAAAAATTATTTTTTTAAAATAATATTACTATTATTAGTTTTAGTTATGCAAGTAATCATCATTATATATGAGAGTGGCTATTCATTTTCTTTTTCATTATATCATCAGGTGGCTAGCTAGATAGATAGATAGATAGATAGATAGATAGATAGATATATAGATAGATAGATAGATAGATAGATAGATAGATAGATAGATAGATAGATAGATAGATAGATAGATAGATTTTATTATTATTATTATTATTATTATTATTATTAGTAGTAGTAGTAGTAGTATCATTTACAATTTTAAATTTTAGGCTGTTTAGAAAACATTTTCTTTTTGTTTACAGTGAATTTGGATTCCATTTCATTCTTCAGGAAAGTAATAACTGTATGAACAATAGCAAGCTGTGCACAGGATAATGTTGTGTCAGACATGAACTGTGCCAGCATCACATGACTGAAAAGGGGCCCGCATGGGTTTTCCCTCAAACAGTTGGGACATATTAGAAATCATTCACTGTATCATTAACATGAAATAATATAACACAAATTAAACACACAGTTACACTCATAATGGAAAAACAAACAAAATCTGGTAAATAACAGCAAATATCAAACTTATAATTTGTGCATGCTAGTATCATTCTCAAACGCTGGACACACTTTATCCTAAAACTGGGATTGACTAATTTACAAGAAGCAGAAGAATATGTAAACAATTTTAAGTTTTACTAATACCTTCTTTTTCCTTTACTGTGCTTCTACTCCATTACCCTTTTTATAACACATCACACTACAGCAATTGCAATGGACTTTAAATATAACTGTTTGTACATCCAGACATAAGACAGACCGAGACGTTTAATGCTTCTAATCTCTTGGAAAGGTCTGTGTTTTTGAATTGTTTGGGAACAGCGTCTCCAGCCATTTATGCTGAATCTCTTTGTGTATTTTAACCTTGGATCCAGTGAACACTGGTTGCACAATCCAAAAAAAATCTTAAATACAGACCAGTCTCTTTGCCTTCAGATCAAGCCTTACTTTAATCAGGTACTAAAGGCGTAGCTCACTTAAAAATGAACATTCAGGTAATATCTACTTGTGCAGGTGTTGATCTAAAGCTGAATATTATTCTTTTTTATTTAGTGTTTAAATAAAAAGAAAATTGAAAGTATCAAAGATGCAATATTGAGTGAAAATATAACATTTTCACATCAGTCAGTGAGATTGTTGATAAATGACACTATTAAATGGGTTCCCGACCCAGTGTTGTGTTTACTTATTTGTTTTCTTGAAATTTTGAAGTTATTGTATCATATCAAATTAAATGCATGTTGTGCTGCTGCCTGAAGTTGTCAATTAGTGATGCTGGTCTGAACAGTTGTAGCTGAGAAAATTAACTGCAATTAATTAATGTTAATGATGAAGGTACAATGCTTCCCACAGGTTTGAAATATGGTGATAGCCTGATTAAAACACACCTTTTACCCACAGCACATAAATGGTCAACTACATGCAACAAACAAAAATAATGTGATTTTTAACTATATTTTTATTTATTATGACACTGTTAATCACCTTTTCTTGTTAATGGGTTAAAGTTATTAAAGAAAGGCTGTTGAAATAAAAGAAATCCACTATTTCTCTTACTTTTTTGCTATTTAGGAGCCATATGAACCCACTGACAGATAAAAGCTGCTCTCTCTCTCTCTCTCTCTCTCTCTCTCTCTCTCTCTCTCTCCCCAGAGTTGCTTTATTTGCATGACATAGTACAGTATTGCCAAAGCATTTTAGATATGTATATAGTATGTTAAATATTAACATAATTAAATAAATACAATATACAGCAAATAAGAAATAAATAACAGAAAAAAGGAATAAAAAGATACATTATTCCAAAAAATGATAATAATTACTAGAATAAAAAGGCAAATTAGTTGATTAGCCAATTATAACAGTGTACAAATATTTTGCAGCCAGTATATTTTGTTCTATTCGAGATATAGTAAAGTTTATCTGAGACGTTTATAATTTGATAAATAATTTAATGTTTCTCTCGGGTCTGTGCGCGCACAGTCAGCTTATAAAATATAAAATATAAAACATGCTGCGTTAACGTGAGACTCTTATCGGATGATACAAAAAATATCACCTTTAATTTATTCTCAAAGTTGGGTTGGGAGCTTTTAAAAACATGTATGCGCATCCTGTGCTGCAAACGTTACATCACAGTACATGCTTTTAGTCATTTTCACGTAGAACTGAGCTTTGCAGAGCAACAAATGTGTTGCTTTCATCTAAGAGTTTCCTGTTATTTTGGGTGACTTTAACTGCAGTTCAGCAGTTTCACTTATGAACATTTTATTCATGCCCTCGTGACAAACTGGGGTAGTAGACGTAAATAAGGAGTAAAAACTGGTGAGAATGTTATGGAATTTAATAACGCAAATCAAATGGAAAGAAAAAACTTCCGCATTTTGCGACGTGTGTGTATGCGTGTGTGTGTACGTGCACGTGTACGGTCCTTTACTGACAGCCACGTGTGGATCTTGTCGGAAAATATTACGAAAAGTCCTACATGATGGTAATGGTTTGATTGCGGTGTTTACTTCAATAATGCCACTAATATATGCATACTCCATGTCTTAATTCCATTTCTGTTTAGTTCAGTTATTACTTTAGTCAGATCAAGGTAATCAAAAATCGATGTATCGAGCTTATATAGGCCTACAGTTCAAAATTCATGTTTAACTGAGTAAACAGTTAGTAAACAAAAAAGTACATCTTTTGCTTATTTTCATCACCAATTATCATAGTAGAACAGTTTCTCAAGCAGTTTGGGATGCATTTTGCATTTTGATGTCATTATTTGGGTAGCTCACATATTCTGAATGCCTTCGGTAGAAATCAAATGAGCCTTTTTAATCTAGATCAATATAGATTAATTCCAAGATTACAGTAAGATTAATCTAGATTAAAAAAATAATAATAACAATCTATTCCCACCTATATTAACAATGCATACAAATAATGACAACTTTAGAAAGCGAAAGTAACACCCAGA